ACAGGACCCTGTGGGACCCCTACCTGGAAACAGTGCTTCTGCCAGCCTCAGCTTCAGTGGGAACCCCCAGTGTTGGTCAGTCCCTGTTTGTGTGTGCTTCCTGACAGGCAGGTGGCATGTGAGTATCATTGCCATGTTTGTCAAGATTGACTCAGCTTTGAGCAAAGCAAAGAGCCCAGCCCCGGTCCTCCTAGTAAGTCAAATCTAGCCTGGGCAAAAGAGGGACCTCCAGGAGGGCCATGCTTACTAGGGACCATTCCACCTAGGATGGCCAACCCCCATCATATGGATGGGGAGACTGAGCTACAAGAGAAAGAGAGATCTGGCACCCAGGCCTCCTGTCTACCAACCTCTGCCTCCAGCTGCCTTCCTCTGGCTCTTCCCAAGGGGTACAAACTGGCCCCCAAAGGGTTAAATACAGAACTTGCAAACTGATTTCCATGGACTGACTCTAGGCTGCAGGTGTGTTTTATTTGGCTTGCACGGGATTGACAAATATTTAGTAGTCAATATGTTTAAACTTGGAGATTTACATAAAATCCCAGATTTCTGGCTGCTTTTGTAAAAAAAAGGAATATCTGGCATGAAGGGCCCGCATTCCAGACTGTCAGCATTTCCTGAAGCCTAGCTCAACCTCCATCTAGCCAACCTCATGCAGAGGCTAGCAGGGGAGAGGAGACCTTGTTATCTGAGCCAAGGAACTCTTATCTGAGTGGCTGGAGTCTGTAGGCATTTGCTTTTGTGACCTCAGTATTAGCATCTTGGAGAATTCTCAGGTGGGCCCCTTCCTGCCTCTTCATTTTTTATATGTTTTACCTTCCCAGGGCCAGGCCCTGCATGGGGCTCTTGGGCTTCATGTCACCCATGCACAGCCTTTACATCACCCATCTAGTTCATTTATCTCATTTAATCCTCTCAGCACTCGGAGGCAGGGGCTGCACAGAAGGGGACTCCCCATATCCTAGTGGGGAGATGCGACCTGCTCAAGGTCATAGCACTCAAGTAAGGAAAGGCCACTTAGGGTGGGGCTCCTGAGGCACCTGTCACAGGTCCAGGGTCCAGGCCCCAGCTCTGGAAAGCTGATTCATGATCACGCTCTCACAGGTGGCTGACTCACAAAGAGGAGACTGCACAGCCAGGCACACCTAGGCTAGACTCCCAGCTCCGCCATTTACAAATGATGTGCCACCAGGCGAGTCTTGCCTTCAGTCTCTTCGTCTATCAAATGGGGCAAATGCAAAACACCTTACAGGTGTTCAATGCAACCAACACGGCAATAAAAAGTGAACCAAATACCTGTTCCAGGACTGTGCTATACACTTGGAAAGTAACTGTGAATAAGACAGATGCTGTGCTGTAAGACCGTTGTTCTTCATTGGGGATGATTTTTGTCCGCCCCCAAGAGACATGTGGCAGTGTCTGGACACATTTCTGATCGTCATGGCTGGAGGGGGAAGTGTCACTGGCATCAGTGTGTAGAGGTCAGGAAAGTCGCAAAACATTCCACAATTCCCAGTGAGGGGATCTGTTAGAAAACAAGCAAGTCCTCTTTGAAAGAGATTTAGGGAGTGCTGAGCAGGGGAGGGGCTGCCTGGGCTGGTGAGTGGTTGGGAAGGGCCTCCTGAGGAAGTGACATCCAGGCTGAACCCTGAGGCCTGCCCAGGAGTTGTGGGTGGGGGGAGAGAAGAGTGGGGCACAGATGATGACCTGAGCGGGCAGAGAACCGGCACATTCCAGCACAGCCTCTGTGCAGGGCAGGCCACTTCAAGAATCCCATCCCTCTTTGTAAATATCCATACCAAGTTTATTTAGCTCATCAGCTCTAAACAAAAGAGTGAGTGTGACTGTTTCTCTTAGCAACCACCTTGCCACCCTCTACCAATTGTCTGGAATTTCTCCAGGGCTCAGGAAGTCTTTTGAGAGAGATTTCCAAGCAGGTCTACATAGATGGTGCCAAGCACTGTGCTAAGTGTTCTATAGGCACTAACTTGTTAACTTCTCGCATCGACCTCATTAGAGAAGGATTTCTAGGTGAGGAAGCCAAGGCTTGGTGAAATTAAATGACCCTGTACTAGGGCACAGAGCCACTTAGAAACTGGCCGGCTCCAAAGACCTGGCTCTTACCTGTGAAGAGTGCAGCTCCTGGATGCAAACCTACCTGTGATCTTTCAGGCCTGGCCATAGGTCATTACAGAGGTTTAACATGGCGGGCCTCAATGGGGGCGCTGCTCTCCCCACACTAAACTTGGGACACAGTCAGTACACTGCAGGCTCCAAAGGGAGATGCCATCACGAAGGCAGGACCCCTGGCTGGCCTTGCTAGCACGTAAAGCTACATTCCTAGCCCAGGTGCCTCCATGCGAGGCCTCTTTATTGGGGGCTGTCAACCGAAGCCTTCCTCCAAGTGCCTTTGCCAAGACCTCCTTATCAGGAGGAGTGGGGAGACTTTGCTCTGACTCATTACTCAGTACTTTTCCACTTTTAGCCCTTCCCCCTCTCGCCACCCCCAACACACCCACAAATCCAGAAAACAGCAGGAGCGGTTAGTTGGGGGTTCCCTCAGCAGTGAGCTAACTGCCCATCTGCAACACATCTAACCTTTACCTGGCGCTGTCCCATGGACACTGGGGGAGCTGTCACTTTCTCCTCTTGCTGATATCATCATAGTAAGTGATCACAGGCTTGACTGTTACTCCATTAGACTACTGTGACATGTGGCAGCTCAGCTTCTGACAAGTTGCTCAACCAGCCTCTTCCAGATCACTTGCAGCAAGAGCCTCCCAGCATCCAGCTCTTTCCTGTACTGGCCTTGGTTCCCATGCCCCAGACTGCCTTGAATCTCAGTTAGTCTCTGCTCCCTGTGCCCCATGCCCTCTAGTTCCAGGGTCACTGTTTTGTAATGTGGCTCAAATCACTTTGGACAAAGCTCCCACTGTGATCTGCAGAAAAGACTCCTCTTGGGGGTATCAGACACGGTCGTAGTGGTGAGAGCTGCCAGTATTTATTAAACACATATTGTGTTCTAGGCACACGCTAAGCGTTTTACATATATGGTCTCATGAAATGAGTCCATACATACAGTGCTTAGAACGGCATCGGGTCATAGTAAGTGCTCAATAAATGGTAGCTATTTCCATTGAATCCTCACCATGCTACTGTATCCTGTCCAGTAGGTACTGTCATTCAACACCCCCATTTTGGAATTGAGAAAACTGGGGCCCTGAAAAGTTGAGACTGTGAATAAATGGTGGAGATGATCTCAAGCCCAAACCTGCCTGAGCCCAGGTGCTTTCCGCCGGGCCTGTTGTGCAAATTCTATTGGATAAGAAACAGCTAGGTCAAAGACAGTTCACAAAGGACATCTTTGAAAGACTTCTATCAAAACGGTTTAAAATGTAAAAGGTTTCAGTGCTTGAAGTAGCAAGCTTCAGTGGCTGAGAGAATTTTCTTTACATTGCTAAGCAAAATTCAACTGAGTAAATTTGAAGATCTAATCGGCTTTATTAAGCAATTCGTGAATTGGGCAGCATCCCATCCAGCAAGGAGAAGGGCACTCCGAGGGGCTGTACAAATTGGAAGGTTTCTTAGAGGAAGAAGGGTGGGACAAGAGAGCTATTAACAAAAGAAAAAGGATTATTTTTAGGCCAGGATGGCTTCTTTGCCGGGGAAGGGAACGGCAAGGGTTTTTACCATGACGATTGCCTCTTCTTTCTGTGGGGCACTGGTGTGGGGAACGGCGAGGGCCCATTTGACAGATTACCTTACAGTTGCTTGACCAGAAAATTCTGGACCGGTTGGTTAAGATTACATCTCTGGGAGAGGTGGAAACTGCAATTAGGTCAGATATTCAATCTAGGTTCGGTATCATGAGCTTTTAGCACAGGGGACGCCATTGTGGGCCTGTGGTTTTAACCACGTGAAACTCCACATTTCAGGAAGGAATCCCCAAAAATCACCCTGATATAAGTGACAGTTCTCACCAGCAGCCCGGGTTTAATTCTGTTAATTTACCCTCTTTCCTCTTAATCTGAGTAAGTCCAAAGCCTGCAAGTAGGAGAGGTCGGTATTCCAAGTGTCAAGGACAATAACAACAGGAACTGTCTCCCAGTCCTCCTCCTTTGACCTAGAAACTCCTAAATGTCACGCTCAAATTACCTTTAGGAGAAGTCACATCTCATTGGCAGTAAGGTCAGAGAAGTTAAGAGATAAGAGCAGTAGTTAAGAGCATGGGCCTCCACAGGGAATAAGGTAGCTGTGTGACCTTCGGCAAACTGTGTAACCTCTCTGATCCTTAGTGTTCTCATCTGCAAACTGAGCACAATATTAGTACCTAATTCACGGGACTGTTGCAAGGAGTCAATGAGGAATGCTTATAAGGCCTGGAAAGAGTAGGGGCTGGAGAATGGTCAGTTTTTATTATTACTAAATACTGGAGCATGATAACTATATCTGAGAAGGCTGGGATCTCTCCAGAACAAAGGCCAGTCTTAAATGAAAATCTCTGCTTGGAACCAGCCCTCTGGGGCAGGATCCCCATTCCAGCTGAGTTTAACTCTTCCAGGCTCCCATCCAAAGTTCTTACCTTCAGGAAATACCAGAATCACCCAGAGAGCTTGTTGTTCACCATGCATATCCTTAGAGCTCTCCCTCCAGGAGTCTCTTTCAGGTTTTGAGGAGCCCAAGAGTTGGATATGTTTAACCAACACCCTGGGTAATTCTCACTCAGAGTGAGAAACACTGCCCTAAACCAGGGATAGACATACTTTTTCTGTAAAGGGCCAGATGTCTCTGTCACCACTGCTTTACTCTGCTACCTTAGCACAAAAACAGCCAAAGATATTAAGTAAATGAAGGAGTGTGGCTGTGTTCCAATAAAACTTTATTTATAAAGACAGGTAGGAGCCATATTTTATCTCTGGGCCATAGTGTGTCAGCCCCATCTGCTTTCTGCCAGCCCATATCTCTTCTATAGATAACCAATAAACACACAGACATGGGTATAAAAAAAAAGATATTTCTTTAATTTAAAATTATGACCTAGAAAGAACCAGTCAGTTTAAGTATCCAGGCTTCTTCTTTATATTCAATAGGAAGAGACACAATATTGGCTCAGATTGCCAACCCCAGAGAAAAACCAAACCAAATGGAAAATCCTCGGGAAGTCCCCGCAGCTACTTTGCTGGGCCACCAGGCTCCACTGACGGAGGATGCCCAGGCTGCCTGGGGCTGCTGCTTTCCTTCCGCTACCCAAATCCCTCACAGGCCTGATTCCTCTCCATTGCTCTGTAGCTAGCCCTGCACGTCCTCCACAGAGAGGATGGTGGCACAGCAGTCACCTCCCCACCATCTTTGGGGACAGTTTCCTGTGACTGCGACAGTGGAGCTGAGCAATTCTGCACGTACGCGCCCAGAAGGGCAGCACCTTCATCGTTTAGCTGAGATCTGGAGCCTTTCGTGGTAACTACCAGTCCGTGTGGTCAAGGCACCGGCAGCAAGATGGCAAAATTGGGAAACAGTCTGGGAAGATGCGATCAATTTCATTCTGAAAACGAAATAGACAAATGCCATCTGGGTAAGCTCCCTGCATGTGGGAGAAAGCATCAAGACCAGCACCACCTCCTTCAGGACTCTGAGGTCTGTCTGCTCTTCCCCGGCACAGAAATCAAGGTCCCACTTCTCAGGTCTGTGATGCTCCTGTCTCATACATTCAGGGCCAATCAGGCCTGCCGATTCACCTAGCCAGCCAGTAGGGGTCTCGAAAGAACTCCAAGCTCTGGATAATATGTGAAGGGAGTCAGGGTGTGATGCCCAGCAGGCTCTTTTTCTGGTACTGAGTTTGGAAGTGTGCAGACAGTAGAGAAGAGAGGAGGAAGGGCATGGCCAGAGCGGCCCTCAGAGATCCTGGAGGCCTTCCCCGGAGGGGTTCACGGACAGAATAAATACAACTGGCTTGAAGCAGGCCTTCTGAAAGGAGCCAGCAGGTCACCACGCACCCACTGCAGTGGGGTGACAAGTTCCCATGTTGGTTTGCTTTCTCTAAAATTTACAGCACCCAGGGCCTGATGCCTGACCTGAGTCAAAAACTGTTGGGACAAACCGCTACGGGGCTGCCCAGGCTGCAGTGGAAGACCAGATGGTGACCAAGCCATCCCCACCACACACAGCATTCCTGAGCCCAGCGGGCCGCATCCTGGGTATATTGCAGAGGCAGCGCAGGGCACTGACAAGGGCCCCTGCTGTGTTTCTGTCACCACTCACTGGTGGAGTAGGTGGGGGAAGAGCATGGCATTAAATAGAGTCCCCTGAGAACTGAGGCGCAGTGAGGAGAAAAAGGATGGGGTTTCCTCCTCAGGCCCAGTCACTCTGCCTCCCAAGGGAGGAAGAAGATATTACCGTGCTACGGCCAGCACCGCTGACATTACCTTACTCAAAAAGATGGTGCTTGGGGCTGGGGGCGTTTCAGCAAAGACCCCTGGCTGTGTGACGACGCCCAGCAAGAACCTTCCTTACAACTGTCCTAGACCGAGTCTGGGTCACATCTCAAGCCCTGGCTCATGACAACACGTGTCCCATCCCCAACGCCTGACCCCCAGCTAACCGGCCTTCAGGTTCTTAATGAGAAAGCACAAGTGATGGGGGTAAGAGAGTCTGGGTCCCAGGACCCAACGATTCCTCTTCCCAGTCTCCTTCTTGTCTCAGAAACAGTAGACCCCCTAAATGTCTGCTTAAAGAGCTGCCCATGTGGCTGGCCATAGTCAAAGGCCAGTCACAGACCCCACTTACGAGACCACGGCAGGGTCACCCAATCACAGCAGAAGGCTGGCTCAACCCCTGCTCTCACTGAATGATGCTGTCCGGCTGTCCATTCTGGGCCACCTGTCCAGGGTCAGAGGTGGGGGCGGGGCTGGGCGTGTTGCTCTGCAGGTAGCGGCGGATATCTTTGATCATGGGCCGGAGGACCTGGATGAGGACGCTCAGGGCCGCCTGGGTGCCCTCCATGGCTTGAGCCTGACGCTCCTGGGCACAGGCCTGCACCTCCTGGGAGCGGCGGATCATTTGCAGCAGGTCGTTCTGCTGCTCCAGGTGCTGGGCGATTTCCTTCACGTGCAGGTTGGTGACCCGTTGCTCCTGGATCAGCTTGGCCGAGTTAAGGGCGATTCGGCTTTTGAGCGCCTGGGGCTTGACTGAGGGGTCAGCGTGCTGGGCAATCATCTCCACGGGGGTCTCCGCTGGCAGGGGCGGGGGAGCCTCAGTAGTACAGTACTCGACTACTCCCTCCTCAAGCGTGTGATAGGTGGTCTCTGTGGGGACTGTGGAAAGAAAGAACAAAGGCAGCATCAGGTCACTTTTCAGAAAGAGTGAAGCTGGCCACGTGGAGAGCAGGCCATTAGCCCTATTCTGGGGAATTCAGGCCTCCTCTGGCTTTATAGCTATTCATGCACCTAATCGAGAATCTAAGGGGTTTAGAATCTTAACCTACTTGGTAACCAAAGGGTCAGTCCTGGATCCGGCAAAAGCAAAGATGCTAATAATAACACTAGCAAAAAATTTAGAGCACCTACTACGTGCCAGGCACTGCGCTAAGCCCTTTGCACTCATTAGCTTGATGATCCTTATAATGACATCGAGAGGTAGGTCCTGTCGTGTTCATTTTCAGAAATGAGGACACTGACTCAGAAACATAGAGTGACTTGCCTAAAGTCACATGGCTTATTCAGCAGGTCCAGGAAACAAACTCAGGTCTCCCCAACACCAGAGTCCATTGTGCTCACTAACACCCCACTGGGCTGCTTTTGGCTAATACAGGTAGGGCCACATGCTCCCCGTAGTGCCCCCACACAGTAGGTATCTTTGGTGGGACTCTCTACATGAGCTGTTTGTAGCCACACTAGTCTTATCTCTTTCTGTGCTTTCTTGACTTCAAGCCTTTTCCAGTCAAGCAGAAAAGGAGTTGGGAGTGGAGAGGTAGCAATTTAAGTGCCCAATAAATGCCTCCCTATCTCCTTGATCACTCTGGTCAATGGAATACCTAAAGGTTCTTCCTGTTCCAGAACAGGAGTTGATTTAGGCCAGTGTTTGATCTCCTTTCCCACCTCAATATCCTTGAGAAATATGACACTGCAGGGGATGGCACTCACACATACACCCAATTCCCCAAAACCTCCACTGAGAATCAGTGATCAATACAGTTTATAACCTATCACAAAGGAGCAGTTAATAGTCACTGATGAAAACCTTATCTGAACTAAAAAGTCCAACCCATGTTCCATTGTTGTTCACAGCTGAGAACCTTTAAAGGGATTCTAGTCTGGCTGTTTGGGCCTCCACGCATAGAGAGAAAGGTCTATCTTCTTCATCCTTCAATGCCAACATCAACTGTGTGTCCCCACCCGGACCAGGAAGCCTCCTTTCTGAACCATCTGGCTTCTTGGGCAGTCCTCAGTTTCTCCCACTGACAGTGCAGTTATTCATACATGGGTCTTATGGCCTCTGTCGTAGACACCTTAGCAATCCTAGCACAGGATTCGGCACAAAATAAGTGTTAATGTTGGATGAGCTATAAATGAGTAGATTAACACCAGGAACCATGAGGTTCCTCAGCTGTGTCTGATGAATGTTGGCAGCACTGAAAACCCAGAACGTCTATGTCCAGAATCCGTGTCTGACTTGGGCATGATCATTCCCATCTATCTACTCATTGAACAAATACATCCTGACTGCCTACTATGTGCCACGCCCTGTGGTAAGTCCTGTGGGGATATAAACGTGGTCTCTGTCTTCAAGGACCACATAGTTCAGTCATGGACATGAATGGTGGCAAAACACAGTTGAAAGCAATCCAGCTCATCAGAAGTCCAGACTGCGTGCTGAGGAACTCCCAAAGAGAACAAGATCACTTCTCTCTGGGGAGTTCTTGGAAGGCCTCATGGTCTTCCAAGACTCCTATCTGACCTTTGGCCCTTTGCAATCAACCTTCCCCAGGCTGCCCAAGCTCTTGCTGGCCCTTCCCATTTATGAACGCTGGACTGGGCAGGAGAGGTCACTCACTCTGTGTCAGGGTGACCGTAGCTGCCGCTGCAGTGGCTGTGGGTCCGAGGGCCACGGGATGGATCTCTGAGGTACTGGGTAGGCTGATGATGGTGGCCTCGCCCAGCAGGTTGCAGATGCGCTGTTGCATGGGGGTGAGCAGTACGGGGGCTACAGCTGGGCCACCGGCACCACTGCTACCACCTGACCCTGGCCCACCAGCTCCATCTTCCTCAGTGGGGCCTGGGGCCTCGCCACCCTCCACAGCTGCCCGGACCTGGGCAACCTTGCGACGGACCTCGGTCTTGAGGTCAGACCACTTCTTCTTGACCTCAGGCAGCTCCCTGCGGCAGGTGGCTACGGCGTTAACCCTTCTCAGGATGCCGTGCCAGGCTGCGCTCTTGGCAGCCAGAGGGACCCCAGCGTTGAAGTGGTTCACCAGCAGGTGCTTCTTCAGTTCTAGTTCCTCCACGATGATCTCCACCTCTCGCTCAGAGAAGTTCATCTTCCTCTTCTTGGCTGGGACGGCCATGGCCTCTCTCTACCCCTTTTGAAAAATATATTACAACCCCCTCAATCGCCCCAATTCCCCTTCTCTTCTTTCTCAGCCTCGCCCCTCACCCACCCCCCTATAGGGGATAGGCCGGGCTTGCCCAAGGCCGAGCACCAGGCCTTCGGTAACCCCCCTCGCTACGCAAAGTGCGTAGGGCCAAGCACCGACCGGCCCAGTCGCTGCCAGCCAGCTGCGTAATGGCTTCCTGAATCTGCCTCTTCCGCCGGGGTGTGCGGAGATCCGCCCACTTCCCCTCTTCCCGCCTCCCAGCGCTTTTCGAGAGGAACCTGCCCTCCCGGTTGGCTGCAGCTCAATATCACGTCGTTCACTGGCTCTTTTGATATGTCGCTCAGCTACAGAGCACGCCCACTCACTGGAATTGGCCTGATCATTGGTCTAAGGGTGTGTCTGTCGCTACAGAGCGCTCCGCCCACTGAATCTTTATTCACTTCCATTGGAGATTGTGCTGTCGTTCAATTATCAGTATTACGACTACTACGCTGTTAAATTCAGCTATTTTATTGGTGATCTAGGGAGTTAGATTATCAAAACCTGGCTTCCTGAGGATCCCTAGTGCTTTCGGCCTTTAGCCGTTGGCCAATTATTTTTAATTCCACCCATGGGCGCAAATTCTGGTTTTCAGCTACAGCTCACAATTACTTCTTACACAAATCTTATTTCCCACCGGAGACTACGATCTCTTCGTACATGACCGCTCCTCCCATCCTTACGATTCTGAAGTCTAAACAATATTTCTCAATGGAAATTGGGCACGGGGCCTTTCGCCTGCCAATTACATAATTTCTGCCTATAACGGCGTGATTGCCTCTCTTCGGCCCGGCTCAGCCAATCCCCGCCTCCCTCAGTTTGAATCGGCTCCAGGCTGAGCCGGAATCGCCCCGCCCTTTCCATTGATTTGGGTCTTCCTGGACTGTGCCGGCCGTCTCTGGGAGGCTCCGCCCCTCGGCTATCCGGTCCTGTGACTGGCCAGCGGTGCGCCTGGGGGCGTGGCCAGGGAGGTGGTGCGCCGCGGGTCGGGGTTCCCGGAAGCGGCCCCTCCCGCCAGTTTGCCGGCATCTCGGAGCCCGCGCTCGCAGACTGAGGACACCGGCGTGTCTTCCGCGTTCTCCTTTCCGCTCGGCGTCCCTGCCTCGCGCCCGATGGTGAGTAGTGTGTTGTGCCGCTGCGTGGCTTCCCCGCCGCCGGACGCCGCCGCCGCCGCCTCGTCGTCCGCCTCGTCGCCAGCGTCTGTGGACCCGTGCGGCGGCGCCGTCTGCGGGGGCCCGGACCACCGGCTGCGCTTGTGGAGCCTCTTCCAGACGCTCGACGTCAACCGCGACGGCGGCCTGTGTGTCAACGACCTGGCCGTGGGGCTGCGACGCCTGGGACTACACCGCACCGAGGGCGAGCTCCGGGTAGGCGGTGCGCACTGTCCGCGCGGGCGGGGTGATGGCCCCTTCGTGCCCCAGAACCTCGGGGAAGTCCGGGCGACAGGTCTGGGCCACTGGGTGGGTGACAGGTCATAACGACGCGGCTTCTTGGGCAGACCCTTGGAGCAGGTCTGCTGGATGGCCTCTTGGGCTGGGTGGGATCCCCGAGTGACAGATGGACACCCTATTTATGCCCTGGTGGGAGTGGAGTTCCTTCCTTACCTCTGTAGATGCTTAGGCCGGGGGAAAGGCTCTTCATGCACAGGTGGCACCCTCTGGGCCTTCTGATAGGCGAAAGCCCCTCCCTGCTTGGGCCAAGTCTCAGATGGCCAAGTCTCAGAAGTCCACCTTTAGTCACCTCCTGACCTCAAAACTAAACTTCATGCACTCCCCTGCCACCACCCACCACTGAAGTGTTCATCCATTCTCCTCCAGTGGCCCTCCTCCCTTCCGCTCTCGTTTCCATGCCAGCCTGTGGTCCCTGTTCTGGTTCCTCTCAAAAGCACGTGGGAGTTGGAAAAAATGGGAACTGGGGTTTCAGGCAGATCTGTGTCGGTGTGGGTGGTGAGGATTGACAGTTCTCGTGGTTTAGGCTCATCCCCATTGACATGCTTATCCAGAAGATGGGACTGCGATCCCTTGCAGGGTTGCAGATCCTGAAAGAATCTGGGGGAAAATACTTCCTAAAAGTGAAAGTATTGCACACCTAGGAGGGGATATCACATTACTCTCCTCTAGGGGGAGGGGGGATGGAGAATGGTTGTCTCTGGACCTACTAGAAAGAGAACTGCTGTCCTTTCTTTATAAGAACCTCAAGCAGAGGCTGTTTCTTCCCCCTCTGTCTCTCAGGGTACGTTTTTTCCTATCTGTCTGTGGGTGTAGCTACTCT